GAGGGAGGGGGGGGAGGGGGGAGACCTTCAGGGTTCAGGTTGTAAATCATTAAGTTTTGCTCAACAATGTTTTGTCCTCCAGTCAAAACAAAGAACCAACCAGAGACAGCGCTCTCTGTGGTCGTTGTAAAAACTACCTTCTGATTATCTGATGATACGATACGTATCGCGATACAGCAACGATACGTTATATATTGTGATATACGCATGAAACTGTCTTTGTTTTCCCACTGTAGTAGAAGTAGAAGAGTGTCCTTGAAAACTGCCCGTTGTTGCTGTTCTTCACTTTAGTTGCCAAACTCTCAGCCTAATTTGTCAGAACTGTTGCCTTTGTCATGAAGTCGTGGACAAAGAACAGAGTGAATCACCGCGAAAGGTTGAGGTTTCTCTACTCCAGCAACTGTAGCAGCAACTGTAATTGGTCGAAACAGAAAAGAAAGAATTGTTGGACTGTTGTTGGATTGTTGTTGGATTGTTGTTGGACTGTTGTTGGACTGTTGTTGGACTGTTGTTGGACTGTTGTTGGACTGTTGTTGGACTGTTGTTGGACTGTTGTTGGACTGTTGTTGGATTGTTGTTGGATTGTTGTTGGACTGTTGTTGGACTGTTGTTGGATTGTTCCAGGCATTAATTCTTCGTACTAATCCGTCTTCATCTGAGGTGAAAGTGGAGCAACTAAAAATACGTTCTTGAACCCAGGACTGTCTGCTCTCTGCTTCTGCGGCAGAAATCGGTGCCAAGGTTGTTCAATTTCCACATTCACATCAACCTCTGGAACCCAGAACTGTCTTTCCCCGGGCCGTACGGCATCGCCGCGGCACATCCCATTAATATCCGTTTGAGTTCCGCCGCTAACAGACAAAAGTGGCCGTTAGACTTTGTCGGAAAAGTTGGAAACTAATTTCCCAAAGTAGATCATTACCTAATGCAGAGTTTGATCAGAGAAAGTACCGGAGCTCATCTGACTGGAGCTGGCACAACAAGGACTGACAATTTATAAACTCTCCCTGGCAAACAAAAGGATGGAGGAACTGTTGGTTCTCACACGACACCCAGCCTCCTGCCAACAAAGACGATATTTATAAATCCTCACTTCACTGGGCCGCAGTTCTTCACAGAAATGTTGGTGGTGCAGTTTTGGAGGAAAATGTTGTGCGTAAACCAGGAGGTGGCGCTCCATCGCTCACACCTGTCCCCATCTGTCTGAACCGTGTTGTCCTCCGTCAGCTCCCGTTCCCACGGTTGCTGTGAACTCAGAGGATGATTCCGCACTGGTCCGAACCTCGCAGCGCCAACTGACTTCCTCTCAGATTTCCCGTGATTTTTTTCCCACAGACTCCAATTCGCGGTATCCAAACGTTACGTGACATCTAACATGGCAGCTCAGGCGTAGTGGTGCCACGGCGGTTAGCATGCCTGCCTCGGAAGCAGAGAGCGGGTCGTCCGGGGTTTGATTCCCAAAGGAACCACATACTTGGCGCCTACAGGGGGCAGTCTACTGCAGCAGAACTGTTGTTAACACAAGAATTAGAGATCTTTTTGGCCAAGAAAGGGAATTGGAGACTTGAAGGTCCTAGTTTAACGAGCGTACCATCTAATTAACACGGTCTCTTCAAAATACAGGAGGGTCCGTCAGAACGACAGAAAGAACTTTCTGGTTCAGGGACTGAAATCCAGTTCTTTTTAGAAAGAAAATCAATCAAATGACACTCCAACCTGGTAATGACCTTTAACGGCGTTCTAATCAGGTTTAGTCAAAAATGTTAATGTTGCTCTTTTTTTTAATTTGGATTTTCTTGTCCTCGTGAAACCCTCCAGACTGTAATTCTACCAAATACGTTCTTGAACCCAGGACTGTCTGCTCTCTGCTTCTGCGGCAGAAATCGGTGCCAAGGTTGTTCAATTTCCACATTCACATCAACCTCTGGAACCCAGAACTGGGCCGTACGGCATCGCCGCGGCACATCCCATTAATATCCGTTTGAGTTCCGCCGCTAACAGACAAAAGTGGCCGTTAGACTTTGTCGGAAAAGTTGGAAACTAATTTCCCAAAGTAGATCATTACCTAAT